TTGCAGCCACTTTCATGTATTGTCTCTATTTTCAGAGTAATTGGACAACTGACTGTCAAGTAGTTGAGAAATAACTTGCATTTTGTGGCCTTAACGCTCAACATGACGTCCAAAGACAAGTGAAAGAGGCCATCATTAGGCTTGGAAAATCTAAATAAATCCATCTGACAACCAGAACGATGGGAAGAGAAAAGTATTTCTAGATCTACTGGATTTAATCAACTTAGGTGGTGTAAAGAGGCAAAACTGTAAAAACTGTGTTGCTGTCCAGAGTCAGTGCAGTTTGGCCTTTTCCAGAATAATCCCCTTAAATTAAATCTTTTCTTTTGTCCAATAGAAAGTCGAGAAATCGAATCAACGGTGCTTTTCTGCTAACAGATCAAACTCTGGAGTTCGATGGCATCTATCCCACTCTGGCAGCACCGGTCTCCCCTGACACCCCTCCGTGGCTCATTGTCTTCGGGGTGGTCATGGGTGCAGTTAGCGTCGGCATCATCGCCCTGCTTGTGTATCCTCTGGTCCAAAGAAAACTGTGAGCAGATGACTGTGGATGTATTTTCATTTAGCTTTTTGAAAATATGATAACTGAGCTTCATTTGATCTGCTCATTCTTTTCGTAGGAAGAAAAACATGGATGCAGATGACGAGGACAGCGACGAAGAGACGGGGGTGAAAACGGCTGAAAACGGTGCAAATGATGGCATTTATAACTCGACGTTCTCGGACGATGAGCGATTCACGCAGATGTAAAGTGCTCTTATAAAAAAAACTGACGTGCAACAGTGTGAAAAATAATGTGATTTTCTTTAAAGTTTCTAATGTAATTCATTTCAGTTTTGACATGTGAATTTGCTGGGCCTTTCAATACAATAATCACAGGCTGCCTTAAACAAATCCAGTGTTTCACACTATTTAACTGCTGTTTTACATATAAATGTGTTTTTTTTCCTCAACCAAAGTGTTGAAGGATGATTTATCAAAGATCTCTGTATGACAGGTTGTGTTAAGATATTTTGCCAAAGTGTGGTCTATATACTAACCATTTACAACCAGTCAAATGGTCCCATTTATGAAGAAGGCTCATTCCTACCTTTGTAAGTCTAGGAGGCCTGGCTTTATGATTACCTTTGAAGGAATTTAATAAAATCCTCTGTTAAACCACTCACGGTTCCTTATCTGCACTCAGTGTTGGTACAAAATTTCAAGATTATGTGCGAACAGGTGTTTAAACTGCAATGTTTGACTTGCTGTATTCTGCCTCCCTGCAGAGCATTTGGAGAAAAGTAACAGGGCATTTCCCTCAAACGATTTAACACTGGTGACCTTTCACAGGCAGTAAACTGTTACCAGTAATTCTGGTAAAGAGTTTGGTCATATTACTGGTATTTC